CTTTGTTGTCTGCGCCGGCTTGCACAACCAGCTACCGTGCTCACGACGGTAGACTTGGACGACAAATCCAAAAGTGTCTTCATTATCATTCAGGTTATGTGCCCATAAACCAGCGAATCACTTCGCTGTAATCCAGGCATCACAGTCAATACACTTACAGTGTACCGAGGGAGGTTCGGTAAGTCCTAGCCTGGGCCTAAATAGGATCCACCGAGGGATTAATTAGATGCTCCCTCGGCGAGTCTAAAAATTGAACCCGACTGAACTCACTGTCAACTGCACACACACTTGCACGGGTAGTTGATCTGAGGCACGGCTGAGAACAACGATGTATCTACCTGTACATCAACTATCAGCAAAGTTTGGGAGATAGAGCACGAGAACGAGTTCACATTCCTGCCACATAAATTTTGCTGAAAACCACAGAACAGACGCCACCTGTCAACTCATGTGTTGAGGTAGAATCTCGAGTGATGCGACTGCGCTTCAAGGTACTTAAAAAGGGAATTGTATTATATCTACACTGCGTAGTCCGGGGTAATCAATAATCGGATGGTGGCAAGGGATACAGTAGAATACAAATGCATATGATAGGAATGAACGTACAGTCAATAACGCTGGCTCGAGAGTTAATCTGAGGCAGCACAATAGCTCGTTCAACTGGTCAGAGGTAGTTCTGTAATGAGATATATATGTGAAGTCTATGTCTGCCCGCAGTGCTCAAAATGAATAGCTCCAAGGGGCCACAAGAATTATGCCGATAACTCAGGCTGTAGAGTGAATCTGTGGCAGCACAATGGAGGACTTCAGAAACCGGCGCAAACTTTATTTTGCGCCATCAAAATCATCCGGAATTATAATTCAAATGCGCCGCAAATTTTGGTGAGGTCAGAAAAGCGCCTCATCAAAATTTGCGGCGGGTCCGGACTATTTGGTACGGATACAGTTGTAGTACGGATAAAGCAACTTCGCAGCAATGAGGCGATGTCTATGGTTGCACTTGCTGGACGACGACGACGATGCCAGCGACGAGGCTCTTAGCAACCTCCGCTTGTTCAGAGCACGAATATCCTTAAAGGAACGACACTACCTCACCAGCAATGTCCTCGTACCACCCAACGCGAGTCCATGGATAGTGTTGCATGGTACGATAGACCGCAGTGCATTCATAACAACCGTGTCCTTGCCACCCGACGCCTTTCACAACCTGATCCACGAGTTTTCCAAAACCTGGAAGGCCGGGATTTTCAAGTCAGGACGCCCCCACACAGGCACCAAGCCTTGGCACTTGTCCTCCACTACTACACTGCGGCATGTGAGCTGTCATGTCCCTTGGGATTTAACCGTTTTCTTGGCTGGCTCGGGTATTGTAGTCAGTCTGTACTAATTCCCAGTGGTTACCTCCAAGAGGTAGCAGTCTCTCGATGTAGTCGAGTAAGCTCAGCGCTTCTTGGGAGTCCATCCCTTCCCTCGTCCTTTCGGTCCCATGCCAAAGTTAAATTGGTTGGTCGCGACCAACCTGTGAGCCAATCAAAGAGTAGAGATTTGCGCCGGTTTCTGTGGACATCACTTTGCCTCATGTTAATATTAATCATATTTTCGCCGGATAATTTTGAGCCGGCAACCGACTCAAAATAAAGTTTGTGCCGGTTTCTGAAGTCCTCCAATGGCTCGTTGCGCTGGCCAGAGGCAGTTCTGTAGTGTAGTATGTGTGCGGAGGATATGCCTGCCGGAAGTAAGCAAGCTACAGTATATGTGTACCCCGCGAGTAGCTGAATAATTATGGAGAATCAATTACTCTTGGTTGCTTTGTACTTAGTTGCTCGCAGTTTGTGAAACGCCCAGGTAGTATTTTATAATTTGCTACAGCGAAAGTATACAATATTGCAATAGTATGAAGTTCATTTGGGAACGTTGGTTGTACGGTTTCGTTCCTCAGAAACACACATGAAACTTAACGTAACTTTTTTAGTAACTGTTGGGTAGTTTTTTTCAATTTTCTACTCCAAGAGTATACTAATCTTCAATGTAACTTAGAACTATCCTAAATTTATCGAAACGAGGACAGCATATATTGGCCAAAAGGCCTTTGACAGTACTAATTGGATATTCGAGTGAGCGTTGAGAACAATAGAGAGTGTGCTAGGCAATTTGGCTTGGGGGATGCTACAAGTCGAATATTGTGAGGGGAAGGGGGGATACATAAGGGCTGATGAGGTGCAGGGGTTGCAGTCGCTACTATTCTGGCGATCTACATACACTATGAGCTAGTCATGATGTCGTGAATGGTGGTTTTAACCTCGTAAGTGGTTATTGTGTGCTTTCACATGTAGTTAAGCCACAAGCAGATCGTGGAGGGGAGGCCGTGGGGGGTTATAGATGATGTAGGGGTTGCAATCGATACAGCTGTAGCGATTTACATGCACTATGAGCTAGTCGCGCCTAGTGGCTGAAACCTCTCCTTTCTCGTGTAGATTCGCCACGGCTCTTACCCAAATTGCTAGCGTTTACACGAATAACTTGTCGTTGAGCTCCACACACAGCTGTACGTTTTACTTCCTTAACTTTCACACAAAGTCACATTGCACACACATAACGCATACTAGTACAAAGGAATATCAAAGGGCTACATCAAATTGCTAGCTCAACTGCTGGCATGATTCTGGACTCTCGAATGAGTATTGCCTTACTAGCAGAAATGGATTTGCCCGTCGTTGATGCGAGCAACAACGACGGGCAAATCCTCTACTATGCTGTATCAGCTCCTCTCCTTATCATTCTATTAGTTGTGAATAAGGTATCTGCAAAGCAAGACTAGTTACTTTAGTACTTCGAAGTACATCAGTCAGGCAATACGAGGCAACATGCTCATGTTCAACCCTATCATCTTCCAGAAATACTGCGTTTTATTTGAATAAATATTACTTGAAGTATATGTCATGACCAACCACATATTTCAATGTCGTCATTCTTCAATTTGCCACCTCACACACACTGCTCAGTGGGTCGATGGGTATGTAAGTGATCGATCGCCTTGCGCATTCAGCCATCCGTTAGTACCGCAAGCAAAGTTCTTTCTATATCTAGGCAGTACATAAATCACGACTATAGAATATGTCTTTTACAGAAGCACGATATATGTGGAACTTTGGCGGCTTTTGGCGTAGGCTAGGTGTGTCAGTCTACGCCACAAGCCGGCAAAGTTGCTGTGGGAGTCTGGTAGCATGCAGTACAGTTCACTACATCCTGATTCGCGTCCGCTTCATGCCATCAATCAGTGGTTGGTAATAGGGGCGTCGATAAGTTGAAGGTATTTCGTGATTCCCCCCCACATGTGAGTCCACATGTGAGTCCACATGTGAGTTTACAGGGGTACTGTTAATAAACAATCACATTGATAATAGTCACATGTGTCCAGAATTCTCATAACGCACTGCCTGGCGAAGAGGATCTCGTTGTGTACCATACTCTATATTCAATTCAGCAAATTTCAAGTGTCCTTCAACAATAACTATGTGCGATTCAGCAAATCTTATGTGGCTCTCAGCAATTCCTATGTGGTCCTAAGCAATTCTTATGTGGCAATATTTTATCCTCGACGAGAACAGCGTCACTTTTCCGTTGCCATACAAGGATCACCAAAAAGAACAGACGAGAGCAGAGGGTGCTTGACCGGGAGAGTATTCTCGATGAACTTCTTGTGATGAACCAACGACGCCAAACGCATGGCCAAAACACCCCTGAACGACGGATGGACCCACAGCCGTGGGAAGACCAGAGTGCCTGCGCCGTCAACTGCACCATTGCAGCCAGGGCAAAATGAGGTGGTAAAGTGGCAAAGCTGCCGCTGGCATGAGGCAGTCCTGCCACAACCCTGCCCACGTACTGGTCGCCAGCACCGTCGTAGTGGACGTATCGCTCGACAACGCTGCCAATGGACCACCCACATCGGATGCACACGTTGACAATTAAGGGCCCAGATGTACTGCCACCAATGGCAAAGGTGGCCGCGCCCTTGCGAAGAGAATGCGTGCCAACTGAAGTGGCCAAAGCAGGAAGCGTTCCTGTCTTGACAACACCAGTTTGGGTTTCAGTTGCACAGAGTCGACGGATTCCTGCGCACAGTGTTATTCACTTTATGATCACTTTTTATCCACCTTGATAGACGGCGGTAGCGTCAATTGAAAAACCAGGAGGTAGCGCTACAAGCTGCTGGGTGTAGTAGTCCTTCAATGCCGACCTGTATAGCTGGAAAGTGCCGAGAGTGATACACCTGCGGTCTTGTACTTGTAGAGTACAAACTCAGTAAAGTCGTCGTAGCCGAAGACGGCAAGATTAATCGAGCCGTCGGTTCCGACCATATCAGAGCGGCCCGACGCTCCGAGCCATTTGACTATCTGGTTTACACCGCCGCGGTAGCCCTTTTTGGAGCTCACGGCGAGTCGATTGTCTCGAAGGTCTTGTACCGTCGTAGACTGATGCCGAGACGGCAGAGGGTCATTGTGGATTGGATCTGCCGTTTCTACCAATCATTCGCCACAGGACCTTCCGTCCGACTTTATTGTGTTAATAGAGCTCTATTGAGCTCTTTCGATATCTCACATCATGTCTTAACTTGTCTTTTGTATAAAATTTATATTGCGCCTCACGCGCGCTTTGGAGTCATCGGAAACGCCATCGGCTTCTCGTTTGAAGTCGATCAAGCTGGATGTTGCTAAATTCGGCGGAGCGGAGTCTGACAAACTCCTCCGCTGGCTTTTACAAGTCAGCACTGCTGCTGACGCTCAGCGTATCCCCGACGACGCCACCCGCATGGCTTTCGCGATGTAGCACTTGAAGGGCCGTGCGGAAGATTGGGCGTTCTCCAAACGCTTTACGGACCGCCACTGGTTTCCGTCCTTCGTGGTCTTCGAGTCCGAACTTAAGGCAATGTTCCTGCCACCCAACAGCGATTTTCGTTATCACTCGCAGTATCTGGCATGCAAGCAAGGAAAACGCTCCCTTCAAGAGTTCATCCATGATCTTCGCTTCTTGGTAGCGAACATTAACGATGAAGAATTACTCCCGGAGCCCCTACGTGTGACCGTTTTCGTGGACAGTCTCAACCAAGGCCCGGTGCGCACCCAGCTGTTTCGCGCCTACCCGGACACCTTCGAAGAAGCCGTCCGAATCGCGTTTTCGGAATCATTTTCCTCTTCCTTCGCGCACGCACGTTCGGCATCCTCGGACATGGATGTCTCCATGTTCGCCCAGGCATCGGACGACCGCACGTGTTTCAATTGCGGTCGCCCTGGACACTTCTCCCGCGCATGTCCGGCACCTCGCCGTGTGGCGTCAGCCGCTCCTCCCTCACACGGTTCCTCCCGTGTCGCGCCTGATACCCCTTCGCGACGCCCTCCGATCGGTCCACCTAACCGCTTCAATCGCGAACAACATGGCGGCTCACGTCCGCCTTTCCGCCCTGCTCCGAGCTCGAGTGCAGCGGGAAACGGTCGCTACGAGTAGGCGCGAGGCGACCTACTGGGGAAACACCCTAGGTCCATTTAGGTGTGTGGCGCGCTGACACACTCTCAGGACCTAGCCTCGGACACAGACCTTCTTCTGTGTCGTGTTGGGCTCCAACCCAACAAAATGATTTGTTTGGAACTTGTCGTGCCTGGCTTTCCGGCCAGGCTCTCTGCTTTAATCGATTGTGGGGCGTCGACAACTACGCCAGCCACTCCACTCTCTCTCGCTTCAACCGCTTACCCTCTTCGGATCCCTCCCACAGGGTTCGCGTCAAGATGGCCAACGGCCACACTGCGTCTCAACCACGCATAATCGTCGACGCTCCCATCACCTTCGACGGTTTCGACTCGGTCGAACCGTTCTATGTGATCGACCTCAATGAGAGATGGGATCTCATCATCGGGATGTCCTGGCTGGAGTTCCACCAGCCATGGATTGACTGGAAGGCCAAATCCGTGCACAAGGTTACTTGGCTCAACGTGAGCCAACCCTGGTTCATCGGCGGGCTGCCGATCACCTTCCCCTGTCCGCCACCAACCCGCTTGGTCCTCCGTTAGATACGATGAGTAATGATCTCGCCTCTCCCAGGTCCGCAGTGCGCTCACTGACCCTACCGCCCGCGACCCTCCCGGGCCTAGCCACGGTGCTGCACAACCCCCCTTTCGTTTCCCCAACAGAGCCGTCCTCTGTTGTTATCCGTGAGGCTCCGTTATCGCCACCGATAGCTGCCTCGACCTTGGCAGCCACGTTTATCGAAGAAACGTGTAACTTGAACGAACTCCCTCCGACGTCTTCCGAGATCCTGGCACTGCCAGAGATGAGCTTCCACTCGCTCGTGGACTCTCTCCGCGCCCACGATATCGCCGCCTTGGCGATGATCACTGTCGAAGAAGAGACGGATCTCTTTTCGACCTCGAACGACTCGGTCCTCGCCGCTCCAGACGTGGGACTCTCTGCGATCCAACCCCTATTACGGCCTCCTCAAAGAATTTGAGGACGTCTTCCCCGACGAGGTGCCGTGTCGACTCCCAGTCGACAAGGGCGTTCAACACGAGATTGACCTCGTGCCCGGTGCTAAGTATTGTGTCACGCGGTAATGACCGCTGCCTCGCGACCAAGTCGATGCCATTGACGCATTCTTCGCGGCCCGCAAGGCGGCGGGTCACGTCCGCGAGAGCATTTCCCCTCACAGCAGTCCGACCTTCGGTGTGAAGAAGCCCGGCGGGAAATGGCGTATTGTACACGCCTTTAACAAATTGAACGCAGCCACGATTCCGGCTCAGACGCCGATTCCTCGCAAGGACGTTATTATCGACGGCATGGGTGGATCTACCATTTTCTCCACCATCGACCTCCGCGATGGCTTTTACCAGATCTTGATGCGTCTATGTGACGCCCCTAAAACGGCAGTTTCTACGCCGAGTGGCATGTTATGGGAGTGGCTGGTCATGCCACAGGGTCAATCCAATGCCCCGGCGACGTTCAACAGCATGGTTACCGCGAAGTTCCGCGCGTTTCGCGACTTCGCCCCGTCCTACATCGACGACATTTACGATCACAGTTGCGCTTCATCCGCGCAGTCTGATCTTGACGTTCACCGCGGCCACCTCCGCGAGGTGTTTGAAGTCCTCCGTGCCAACGGACTATATGCCAACCTCGCCAAATGCATGTTTGGCGTCGACGAAATCCCGGTCCTGGGAGATTTGGTGAGGGTGAACGGATGTCGGGCTGATCCCGAAAAGATCAAGGCCATTTCGGAGTGGCCTATTCCCTCCTCCGTCAAGGATCTTCGTCGCTGGCTGGGCCTTGCGACGTACCTCCACAAATACTCGCAAAACTTTGCGGACATCGCCCAGCCGTAGTTTCGGCATCTCCTCAACGACGCCCCTTGGGTTTGGGATTCCGCTTGTCAGGAGGCTTTCGACGGCCTCAAAACCAACCTTCAACGCGCCCTGATCTTCCCGGACTTCGACAAACCTTTTTCAGTCGTCTGCGACGCCTCGCAGTTTGCAGTTGGCTGCTGCCTGATGCAGCTCGACGCCTCCGGTCGCCCTCGCCCGGTTTCTACCAAAGCCGCCAACTTCACGCGGCTGAGCGGGCGTACCCAGTCCACGACTTGGAACTTCTCTCCATGAAGTACGCCCTAACCAAGTTCCGCATCTACCTCCTCGGCGGTAAACCCTTCGTGGTTTACACCGATCATGCATCCTTACGCACGGCGACGAACACACCGCACCTTTCGCAGCGCATGGCGCGCTGGATTAAGTTCTTCTCCGAATTCACCTTTTCGGTTCAGTACAAGCCAGGGAAGGATAACATCCTGGCCGACGCCCTGTTGCGGCCTCCGGATCTCGAGCTGACCACGATCGGTCTTTTGACGTCGGGCCTTCACGATCGAATTCGTGCGGCGTACACCTTTGACGCTGACTGCTCGTCGCGCCTGGCGGCGCTCACCGACCCCGTTTCCCCCAAACCCCGCCGCGCTTCGTCGGCCTTACATCGATTTGCCCTCGCCGACGGGCTTTTGATGTTCCAACCCATCGCGGACTCGCCCCCGCGCATCGTTGTGCCCGGTGACGCGCAGCTGCGCCTCACTCTCCTTCGATCGTACCATGACTACCATAGTGGCGGCCATTTTGGCCGCGACAAAATGCATGCGGTCCTGGCGCGTTCGTACTGGTGGCCTCGCATGTACTGTACAAATCCGTTGTGCGCTACGTCGCTCACTGCGACGCTTGCCAGCGCACTAAAATCACCGCTCCAACTCTGCCTATTCCCGACGAACTTTAGTCGTCTGTCAGCATGGATTTTATGCTTAGCCTGCCACGCGACGCCCGCGACAACACCGGCATTATGGTTTGTGTCGACCGCGCGTCCAAATACGTTATTGCCGTCCCCGTTCGAGACACGCTGAGCGGCGCGGACGCAACTCGCCTCTTATTCGACCACGTTTTCTGTCGCTTCGGCCTGCCTCGCTCCATCGTTTCGGACCGCGACCCGCGGTTCACGGCGAAGTGAGTCCGACGGCCAAACGGAACGCGCCAACCGCGTCCTCGAAGATATCCTTCGGACTACTCCGTTTCTACCGGTTCCTCGTGGGCTGTCACGTTACAACATGCGGTTTTCGCTTACAACTCCTCGGTTCAGGCGTCCACTGGCTTTTCGCCGCATTATGCGGTCCTTCTCCAACACCCCCGCCTCCCTCCAATGCTCGACCGATCTCCAGTGGGGGTGGATTCACTGCGCGGTTCCCTCCTGCAGGCGTACTCTCCAACGCCCCCAGCCCCACTCTCCAAACCATTCAGAGTTTCCTCTCCCGTCGCGTCTCTGTCATGCAACAGATCCATGACAGCATCGCTGCCGCTCAGCAGCGCCAATCAACTCAAGCCAACAAACATAGCCGCTCTAACCTCGCGTCTTTCGCCGTTGGCGAACAAGTTCTCCTCCTCCACAAGTCGGCGGTACCCGCCCATACATTCCGCACCCGTGCGGTTGGAATGTCCTCCAACGTCAAGCTACGCAGTGCTTGGCACGGCCCCTTTACCGCCCTCCGCGTGGTCAGTCCCACCAACTACAAGCTCGACCTGCCCACCTCATGGCAAATCCATCCAACATTCTATGTGGGTAAACTCAAACGTCATTTACCCCCGTTATCTACATCTACGACCGATGAAGCGACGGCAAACGATCCTCTGGATCCCGCGGCGGCTCTTCCTCTTCCGCCGCCATCGACTTCTCCTCCTCCCCTGGCGCCCCATGCGTTGCCGTCCGCGACATCGGCCCCAGCACTTGCTGCGGCGCCGCACAGCCCGATAATCCGCGGCTGCTTGCCTCTCCGCCGCAGTCACCTGTCCATACTGTTGTGGTTTTGACCCCAATGGCGGATTGTACCCCGCAAACAGATTCACCGGCCGCGCCGCAGTCAATCGCGCTGTCACCTGCGCAGCCGTTGCCCGCACCTGCGCAACTTCGCGCGCCCACGTCGAGGAACTCGCCGTCGGCGAAGCCCATACGCTTTTCCAGGCGCTCGCAGGGAGCACCGAAAACCCGCTTGGCGTCAACCGCGCCCCTTGCACATGCGCCGCCGCCGACATCGTCGCTTGCCCCCGAAGAGGTGATCTCCCTGGCACCGCCGATCACCCACGCGATCTCGAACGCCCATGCGAGCGCGATCGTGGGATCGCGATGGATAGCGACGGGTCGGCAGTTCGCTGTGCGAGACGGGCCAACAACAACTTCGGCCTCTTCCACGTTGTCATCGGCATCCTCGGCGATTTCGCTCGCCTTGCGCTTCTTGCCTTCGTCTGCCATCTCAAATCTCAACTGTCACGTCACAGTTCCCTCTCATTTCTGACCACGTGATGATGGCACGTTCTGTCTTCAAGTAGGGCAGGGTGTAACCGTCCCATTATCCGGTTACTAACCGGATGACTAGTCGACACCTCTTCAGTCCAAGGTATCTTTTCGTACACCAACATGTCCTCTTGCGCAACCAAGGTGTTCTCCTGACGATATATCAATGGTTGGTTGCGCGTAGCTTAGTGATAGCGTAGTGGTCTTAACGCTATCAATTCATTCTTGATTCTACCATCTCCTGCGTCTTCCTCTGCTCACGCTCACACCGGGTCCCCGCGCAACTTGGCCGTGAGTTGTTGGAGTATCGACGTGGATGGCGGGGCGCTGGTCGCGTCCGGCGACCTGATGGAACTAGCGCTCGTGACCACCGGGGCTGCTGTCCGCAAATGCGATGCATGAAAATACCTACTAGTATTTTCTAACGATGTTATTGGCCCAATGAAAGGTAGTGCAATTTGTTTGAACAAATAGTTTCTCCAATTTAAGGGAAATTAATTAAAACCTGGTCAACAAATCGAAAATATATTCTTCGAAGTATGTTTTACGAAATATATCTGCCGGAGATACGAAACACGAAATTTCTTAAACCCAGATAGTGCACATATTTTGATTTGATATTTGTATGTCAAAATTATATCCAGAGATATAAAGGGTTTTGCGAAATCGAGTATCCGGACACAGTTTACACAGCAATGCCATCAGCCAAACGCAAGCAGTGGCCGAAAATACGCATATTGTATGTAATATGTATGTTTTAGCTACTATGTGCATACATAATGCATAATCGTCGCAAAAGACTGAAATGCATTATGCATATTATATGCAATATATGCGCATTAATGCACATATTTCTACTCAAGCGTTTCGTGGACAGTCAATACGTCCCAGTAGCTGCGGTTGCACTTTAGGAAGAGGGTCGCCTCAATCATGCTGGGATGAAGTGAAAAACGGTCGAGGGCAATCAAAGCACTCGCCATGCTGAAAAGACGCACGGCTATGTTTGACGTTGGGGTGACAACACCAAGGAGGACATACTAGTAGGTGTCATTCTCGTCGGCCAGGCGCGCACGTTTCAACGCTCTTTCGGTAAATCCAGCATCTTCGTCCGAGGCATCATCTGCGCCGTGGTTGCTTCGCAGTGCAGCAACGGCCAACTTCTCAGGCCGAGTGAGCGTGCGACCACCATGTTGAAGCTTCGTGACGGCATTTTCAAATTTGGGTTGCCAACAATATTTGCTGATCCACCTAACAGTCTACTAGAAATATTTCATATAGTTATTGTCGATTTGATACAAATTTGGGGAGGGGGTGCAATCGAATCGCGCCGACCAAACCGATCCACAATCGATCTTCTTAGTTGAATTTTTTGATTGGCTAAGAATTTTGAGTTCATTTGAGGTAGCCAATCAAATCGATTTAAATTCCAACGAGAAACTACGCCACAACACGAAATTTCACTCTAAAGCACAATATACAACTCATGATATTTTGTACTTCGAAGTAATGCTCAAAGCTGGGGAAGTCAACGACAAGAGCATCAAAGAGAGTTTGAACCTCCCACATTGTATGTAGCGATGATTAATAACATCAAACGGGGCGTTACGAACTAATAAGGTATGCTAATGACTAGCTGCTAAGCAATGTGGTCGGTGTTATTATGTTATTTTTTATGCATTGCCAAATCGAGTCAAAATACATAATGCATATTTTTTTCAATTCTCGAAAATAAATTATGCATAAAACCCCTAAATATTTATGTTTATGCGTTATTTTATTTCGACCCCTAACTGTAAACGCAAGGCCCAAGCGGCGCTGACCACCGAGGACATAAGTCCTGTCAACAACTCGGGATGAAGGTATGTTGATTCGGTATGGCAGTAAAACACGCTATCAGTACGAGAATCGCTGTTGCGTATGAATATCGTATTAATACTGAGCACAATTATGAGCACGAGCGTGTCTTGACTTTGATGTCGAAGGCAATGGCAATACCTCCACCATCACACACATAACGTTACACTAATAACGTTACTCTACCTCAGCCATTTCTACCGGTAGGGCGTGGTGAGGTGGGGCAGTCGTGCCCATTGTTGTGCACCATACCACCAGCTTCCCACAACAGAATCATTATAATAGGCTGCCTGAGCCACGTCCAGCCACGTGGGCGATTCCACGAAATCTTCTCTGGGTTACTTAGCGACGATTCTGTCTCATTTATCGTATACGAGTAGTATGGCTATAAATTACCTAGTCGTAGAACGCATTGGGTTTGCGGAGACTACTGAAGCCTGAATGCACAGACAGCTCTCCTATGGTCAAGTGCAGCTGCAAATTACATAGTGACATCATATATATCCAATCAAACTGCATTATGATTGGAAATCCAAGTAGGCCGGCAAGTTGTGCGGGAGTGGCGCCTTCTCGCGCAAGGCAATGCGCACGGATGACACCGTATAGTAGCCTAAAGTGCACACGTTAAAACTTGCGCTGAGCTCTGGCGTACCTGAGAGTGTCGTCCATCGCATGCCCGTCTTGGTCAAACGCTTCTACTGGAAAGCAATGATAGCGAAGTTAGCAAGCGTAGACTAGACGAGATGACATACCCAACCATGTATGTTCTCATCAAGAAATATAACCTTTGATTTACATGTCTTGTGCGCCGATCCAGCAAAGTCATAATGTGTGGCTGTTATCGGCCGAGCCTCTGTTCGACTCCCCGTGCCTGAGTGTGGGTAGCCGAATGTTGGTCACGAACGACATTTGAAGAGTGTGAAATATGACCTGGATCGAAGCGGCATATGCTCCGAGCTGATGGTACACTGTACGATGCATGACTTGTAGAGAGTAGTGAAGTGATAGGAGGGAACTGACTGACTGACTGGATAATGAAGTTACTTTTGGATTTGTCATCGAGGTCACCGTTGTGAACACGGTAGTCGTCGGTTGCGAACACCGGCGCAAGACAACAAAGAATTCTTTAGCTGTCTTACAGACACGCTAGCGACTGAACGCATGGAGTTTCCCGGAACAGGAAACGAGCATGCCTTGGACGTGGAGCTACCTGTTT